AGAGCATTGTATAAAGCTGCTAAAAGTAACTTTCAGCAAAGTCTAAGCCCAATTCCTAAGTGCTGACGGAGCCAGCATTTAAGTGTCGTGAAATGAGGACTACAAATAAAATCCCGCCCCAAATACTGAGTTCAACCAATAGAGGAGCTGCACGGTGAATATATTAGTGACAATAAACCGTTAATGTAGAGCTTTATACAACATACCTTTCTGTGATCATACCTTTAATTGGTTGTACGAAAATCTACCTAGCACATCACCAATCAATTTCCACTAATAGATGCACATGTTGTATAAATTATGGGTCAAATGCAAAACTCATAGCAAGACATTGGGTTCTAAAAAAAAACCAAACTGGATGACAAACAAAACGGTTCTTTTGGCACAGTTGGTGCTTAAATGGAAGCAGGTATTGCGAGGAAAGTTTGGCCCAGCTGTTACAAGTACGGACAAAAAAAGCTTAGGAGGCTGTTGCAAGCTCCGTAAATGCTGCGTCACCTCGGACAAGGCGTTCAGCAGAGGAATGTGGAAAAAGGTGGTATAATGTTTTATCGACCTCGCGAAAGGAAATCACAGTTTATAAAGCAAGCAAGCATGCAAGCTACAGCTTTGTGTCATTACTTATATTGCTCTTATGACCCTCGCTATAATTAATAATAATAATAATAATAATAATAATAATAATTCTAACAATAATTATTATAATATTTTTCCAGCTGCCAAAAACGTAGCATCATTATCACCTTCAGTTCAACTGTAAGTGCATTTTTAGGTGACATAGGAGATTGTATCCGGTTCCTAATTAGGTTGGTAACAAAAAGAATGACCTCATGATTGAGCCTGTACCTTTTTATCAATTCATTATTGTCGTACGTCTGCAGGACGTCCTTTCTTTGACGGAAAGTGCGCGGTCTCCGTCTGGGTGCGCGTAGTGCAGCTGCCATCATTCAGCTCCTAACTGGCTTAGGAGTCCTCTCCAGCTCTCTTAAATAATTTAGTAGCTGAGACCTACTCTTAACACTTAAGAATGTCTATGCATGCCACTTATTCTTAAGTCTGGGAGTAGGAGCAATATCACGTCACTCTTAGAATTGTGACGCATTTAAAAGTGAAATTTTACTCTGAGAAGTTTTATGCATACCGGCCCAGGTCTTTTAGAACTACAATTTAGGGTTCAGTTTAATATTGCTTGAAATGAATGTCTTACTTAAAACTACTGGTTGTTTCTAGTGTCATATATATTTATAAAGTAATGATTTTTTGCTATAAAACCAGAAAAAAATAATACTTTTACTGAATTAAACAAACATCCAAAGACTTTTCGTGAGCACTGTACTGTATATGGTGTCCTTTGTGTGTGTGATTTGTGTGAATGTTAATCAAAACGGGTGTCTGCAGTCATTGGGAATGAATAGGATTCCAGCCTTATTCCACTGACTTGTTAAATATCTGCTTTTGTTTGCAATGTGCGATATGTTATGAGATCCAGCATATTGTCTTTTTTTCCTGCTTTGTCATCTGCTGCTGTACTTATTGTTTTGAATTTACTTTTTGCTCTGATCTGCAGGAGGCACACAAGTAAGAAATTGTATGATGTACACATGCAAATACAAACCTTAAAACCTATATCGCCTTATCTTAGCATCTGTGTTGGCACCCATAATCTCACCTGCGTTGGTGTTGTGTGGAATCTGATCTCCTGCGATGACGGCCAGTGCGGTGTGGTATTGGGGAGTTTCCGCCCACCTCGAGTATCACCGTCGGATCAGTTCTGGTCCCTGAACCTGGCCTTTCATCTTTTGCTCCTGGTTAACGGACTGATTTTACGCAGTGACTTTCAGGAGTGTGTGCTGATTCGCTCCGTACTTGTTTAAGCTATATGTGTATGAGGAGGCTTTTGCTGCAGTGCCTTTTATCCTGTCCCTCTTAATCTGTGCAGCACAGATATGAGTCAGCTGGGGGGTTTCATCTGTTCAAAGGCATGGGTGTGAAATGCATTATGAAACACGGGATGCCTTCGTTATGGAGTTTATAAAAGAAAGTGTTGAATGGAATAAGATGTAACGTCCATTTTCCTGTAACAGTGGGCCCCAGGGCTAAAATGAGTCTGAGTACATCGGGGGCTCTGAACCGGGTCAGCACTGCATCCGAGGAGCTGTCCACTGCCCCCACCTTGCTGTATTCCTGTGCTCAACTAGCTTGTCGCACTTACTGCCTGCAATAACCTCCCAGATGACAAGGGGGAGAGGGGGCTTGTTGGCTCATACCAGGGTGACCTTTACCGTCATAAAAATCGGTATTTCGCAGCTTTGCCTTGCTTAGGCCGAGCCGCTCACATACATTCCGCTCCCAGTGTAGAGGATTCGGTAACACAGTGGCCTCTGGGAGGCGCCTGTCCCCCTTTTCTGCTCGTGCCATTGATGGTGTCGTGGATATGAGAGCTGTGCTCCTGACCCAAGGTCGTAGCACGTTTTTCTCCTGAGCGGCCATTATCCGAAACACAAGTGCAGTTTAGGAATTTAAATTCCGGATGTGTGGGTTCGCGAAGCATGGTTGGCCCAAGCTGACCTTCCGCGCTTATTTCTGCTCTCTATGCCGTGGTGACCTTTGCCCAGGGGAAGCTGCTCACGCAGAGCTGTGTGACAGCAGCTCTGTCTTGGGATTCCGTGAGTGGACAGGAAACATCCTACAGCCTGCAGCCTCCATCAGCCTCCAGCTCATACAGACTGTTATCAAACATCTGCTTTTCTGCTTATTTTATATCCACAGCCCCCCCGGGTATCCTCGTAGCCGAGCTGCCTTCGGCAGTCATATAGGCTTTTTCCACAAGAGCGAAGAGCGGCTTCTTGGGCATCAGTGCCATATCGTACAATAGGGGACTGTTCACAGACGGGCCTGTGCTTTCCGGTTTACAGGCAGAGCATTGTTTAGCATTGAAGTAACGAGGTAAAATTCAGTTCAAGGAAAAATTAGCATAATCCCCGCAACAGCTGGCCCACCTGCAGTCTGACACAAAGGGATAGTTTCCTGGCCAGACGCTCTGTGAGGGACTGAGGTGAGGATTATCATCTATCCAGCTGAAGCTGAGCTGCCCAGACTCGTTCAGCGTGTCACTGTGGAAAAAGGGCCTGAGTGAAACCAGTTACAGATTGGGAGCCTGATATTCCCCCCATTCCCTTGGCAGCTCCCCTATCACATTCGGGCTGGTTTGCAGCATATGCCCTGTTTGGTGTTTTGTTGAATGATCCCAGGTTTGCCACACAACACTCTGCACTTTTGTAAATGTTTGGCTGTAGCAGAGATAAATGGGCTATCAAGATGTGTCTAATGGGCAGCTTTTAAAATGTTTTAAAATCATTTTTTTTTATTCAGCAGCATTCAGCTTTACTGCTTGATTTAAGGTACATAAAATTGGTCAAGGCATTAAAAATGCTTTTTAAAATTATTTTTAAAAGTTGGCTTGGCATCATCGACTTAAGGTGATCAGTCCAGTTGCAGAAAGTTATGACTAAATACATGGGAATTAAAATACCAAGCCTACTCTGTTTCTTTCAAATCATCCATACCATAAAAATTCCATTTCATTTGACTGCTTAGACAAGAAAAACTTGAGGATGCTGCAGTTTTTTTTTAAATTATTCGTCATGCTTGATTATATTTGCAGGCTTGTTAAAGCTGAATATTAGTCAGCCTGTTAAACGCTAAGGGCTTGTAAAGATCTCTCTCTGTTGAATGGTGGCTCAGTGGGCAGCAGTGCAGCCTCACACCTCCAGGGTTGGGAGGTTTTTCCCAGCAGTATTTGTGGAGTTTTTCTGTGTCTGTACAGGCTTTTCCTGCATTATCCTGCGGTTCAAAAACAGGTGATTGGACAGAGACACCAGTTCACCTGTAAGCCGTGTGACAGAGAGAGAGTCCTGTGATGGGAGGGCCTTTCCTCACAGGAATCCCATGTCTCGTGTCCTGCGTCCCCTGAGATGGGCTACGGCGTCACTGCAGCCTTGTATTGCATAAGCAGTTATGAAAGATGCCTGGCTGTAACACTTCACTTTGGTAATACACCCTGTATTCCACATCGCTGGAAAATGGCAGAACCATACAAATCATCTCCATGCTTCCAGCGCCCATAAAGAACCATGAGAAATCAAGGATCTGCACATTGTGGGAAAGAGCTGGGCGGTTACAGTCTTTCTCCCCTCATGGTTTGTGTTTTTGTGTTAACCTCTAGCCTCTGTTATCAATATCCTCTTGGCTTTGAGTTGAATATGACGAGTAAGAGCACAGGACGTATATGAAATCAGAGCGTGGGGCTTTTGGTGCTGATGTCTGAGAGAATGCCGTCGGGTGTTTGAATTTTAATTCATGTGGGATGCAGGTTAGATGGGAGGATGGACTGACATCACTTTGTAGTCATTCTACTGTCATTCTCCAGTCATTTGATTCTTTTTTTTTTGTTGTCATCCCACGTCTTTGTTGTGCTAATATTGTATTTATACTATGTTTACCACCAATATACTTAATTGAATTTTAATAGCACTTTCATCTTGAGTGTGTTTTATATATTGAGCTGTACAGGGTGCATCTTCAGTTTTCATATTTTAATTGCTGCCTACCAAACCAGAGATGAAATGCGCCTTTTAAATCCAACTTGCACATTTGATTCCTATTAGGCTATTTGGAGGATGCTTCTTAATTTACTGTAAACACTTGATTTTTTAAATTTGCTTCAAATGGAAAAATACTGTGTTCTGTATGGTGACCTTTTCAGGCCATCTGTCCGTTTGTTTCTTTGTCTGCCTGCCTGTCTCTGCCTGCCTGTTGACCTGCCTGTCTGTCTCTGCCTGCCTGTCTGTCTGTCTGTCTGTCTCTGCCTGCCCGCCGACCTGTCTGTCTGTCTCTGTCTGTCTGGCGGCCTTCCTGTCTGTGTCTAAGTGTGTGGCTCACAACTGTGCATACCGTGTAGGAACAGCCCTCAGATTTTCCTCTCTCGTCTCTCCCCAAAGGTTGACAGGCCCATCTGGGTTTCTGACTGACGGGCCGGGAAACTACAAGTACAAGACCAAGTGCACGTGGCTGATTGAGGGACAGTGAGTATCAGAGCTGTGTTTGTCAGTGTGTTTGGATGTAGTCGATCATTTGCTAGTCAGTTAGCATCTTTTCTTGTTAGTTGTTTCACCATACAGTCTTTAGCAGACAAAGCTGAGTAAAAGCCCACTTGTTGGTGGGAAACCCCTCATCCATGGTGCATATTGTTCTGTATGGGTCATGGGGTAAGGAATGGTGCACTCTCTGGGCTCTGGGGCAGCCAGGGACGAGCAGGGTCCCCACCCCACTGCATCCGCATCTTACATTAGGTTAGGTTGTCCTGATTACTGAACGCTGTCCCTGTCCATATTCACGCTGACAGACAGCCAGTGAGAAGCAGCACCACTGACTGATGTCTGTTAATTACTTTGAAATGGAAAGGGATGCCATCAACAAGGAGCATAACTTTTTATCCAGTTAGGTAACTAGCAGGAATTCTGTGTTTAGGAGACAAGCAACTGGACACAACCTGGACACTTTTGTGTGGTGATGTTTTTAAGACTCCCAGATAACATCTTAATTGACTTGTCAGGGAGCTTGGGTATCCTTGGCATGCTTGCTGCATGTGGGAATGCCTGAGTCAAGGCTCTCTGCGGAGGGTGTCTGTACACTGACTGTCTCTTCGTATTCAGGCCCAACACCATCCTCAGACTGCGCTTCAACCACTTTGCCACAGAATGCAGCTGGGATCACCTCTATGTGTATGATGGGGACTCCATCTACGCCCCTCTGCTGGCCGCCTTCAGGTACTGCACAAGCGGTTTCCGTAACTTTTACTGACTGCCTGATAAACATTGGCTACCTGTTCAGTGCTGAAATGATTTGTGTCAAACAGCTTATGTTCTAAAATACTTGCGTATTCTGTATTGTTTGGAGGAAGGATGCAGCAGTAGGGCCTGCATTTCAGTGCGGGATTGCGGGTTTTCACAAAATTTGATCGATTCCCACAAATCCAGTAAATATAATGCAGGAAATTCCCTCACACATTTACAATGATGTCTAATGATGTTCAGCCAGTTTTGCACTCGTGCAGAATGCATGCTCTCTCTCCTTCTGTCTACAAATCTACAAGCCTTTGTCCCCGCGCTGTTTGTGTCACCTGTCTGATTTACACTCCGCCCATCTCTGCACGCACAGCATTACACTTTATGGCATATTTTACAGCTGTGTCTGATTTGTGCTACTGTTTCATATCCGGCACCTATACCAGTGTAGTTTCCTCGATCGTTCAAACTTTGCTTTTGGGTAATGCTTGCATCACAACTGCATGGTTCCAGCTATGCTGCTGGGAAACAGATCTCTGATCCAGTTAATATTTCTTTTCACAACATCATGTTCATTTTACAGACTGTTTCTCAGCGATTGCCACCAGCCCAGTATGGGATAGTCAGCCAAATATTCCGATTTTCAATTGTGTGTGTCGGTGTCCCTGACTGCTGCCGCGGTTATGCTGCAGCAAAGTCATTAGATAAAACCAATAAGACAAACACATAAAGAATTGTATGTTATTTATGTGCTTTTTCTCTGATCCCACTGATTTAGAGTGATGTAAACATGGCTGCAACAAACTCAAAATATGCCAAACTACATATTTCAGTTCAGAATGAACCAAAGGTGTACCAGAGCATACCAAAATACCATATCACTGGATAGGAGCAATTCTAACTGATGGAAATATAAACCAATATTTCAGACATTTAGGTAATAGTCTTTACAAAAATTGGAAATAGATAAATGGAGCGAACGCTTAAAATGACAAGCAAAGAAAACACATTTTTTTCCCACGTTAATGATCCAGCGGAATCATTAACGCTACTTCTTGCAAAACAAGGAACCAGTACAGTGTGCTGTAAATGTTGACCAGTATGGTTTGTTGAAAAATTTCAGTATGAATGGATCGGTGTGTCCTTGGATGTGGGTGTGTCCTTGGATGTGGGTGTGTCCTTGGATGTGGGTGTGTCCATGGATGTGGGTGTGTCCATGGATGTGGGTGTGTCCATGGATGTGGGTGTGTCCATGGATGTGGGTGTGTGTGTCCTTGGATGTGGGTGTGTCCTTGGATGTGGGTGTGTCCATGCATGTACAGACGTGCGAGGTATTGGTTGGCCAAGTTGGTACGGATTGGGCAGTGACAGCCCCCTCTGCTGTTGCAGCACCTCTTGCTAGTGACAGGAATCTGAAGGCATGCAAACATTGACTGCTGATGTTAAATGGAAAGGGATGAAGCAGAGGAGATGGAGTACAGGGAAAGAATAGAGACAAGAGAAGGCAGCCACCAAAAGAAGGACTAAGGACAGTAATGTAGCTCAAAGAAATGACCAACAGGAGAGAAGGAGATAGAGATGACAAATTACAGCAATGTCTGTAGAAAATCTCTTACATTGGAGGAGAGTGATGAAATCCAATGTGAGGTAATAGGACAAGGCAAGAGCTGCAGTTAAGCTCACAAGAAGTAAAGAAGTATCCCCCTCCACACCCCAGAACTGTATAAATCCTCCCTGTGTGAAGCATTTAAGGGAGGAATCCCCCCCTGTTTTGATAAATGAATTTAATTGCCAGGGCGGCATGGTGGTGCAGTGGTTAGCACTCACACCTCTGGGACCAGGGTTCGAGTCTCCGCCTGGGAGTTTGCATGTTCTCCCCGTGTCGTCATGGGGTTTCCTCCAGGTGCTCTGGTTTCCCCCCACAGTCCAAAGACATGCTGTGTGAGTGGGTGGTGTGTGAGTGGATGGTGTGTGAGTGTGCCCTGCGATGGGCTGGGGCCCCCATCCTTGGTTGTTCCCTGCCCTGTGCCCGTAACGTCCGGGATCGGCTCCGGACCCCCCGCGTCCTAGAAGGATAATCGGTTTGGAAGATGGATGGATGGATGGATGAATTTCATTGCCATGACTAGTGATTCCCATGAGCAAGGCTAGCAGGCTGGTAAACTTGGTGTCTGGGCAAGGAAACTGGCACAACTGTTACCATGGTGCCAGGGCTGTGACACCGACAGGGCTATAGCCATGGTTCCCAAACAGGAAAGCTGGCAAGACTGTTACCATGGTACCAGGACTGTGATGCTGACAAGACTGTAACCATGGTGTCCAGGCAGGAAAGCTGGCAAGACTGTAATCGTGGTGCCCGGGCAGGGAAGCTGGCAGGATTGCAACCATGATGCACTGGCAGGGAAGCTGGCATAGACATCAAAACTATACTTTTTGTCATTCTTCCTGCCTCAATAGTTTGCCAGCCACCAGTTGCCGGGGCTCAAATTTGAGTTTCCACCTGGTGTCACCTCCTGCTCTGAATGGCCACCTGGTGTCACCTCCTTCTCTGAATGGCCACCTTGGCATGCTGCTCTGAGGGCTGATTAGTGAGATGCATTGTTTACCTCACAGTTTCTAACACCTGCTGAATGTGCCTTGGTGCTGTGTTGAAGATATTGGTAGCTCTAATTGTTTTGTACTGTAAGCGTAGAACGCACTTTGCTTTTTATTGCTGAATGTCACGTAGGCATGTAGTTAAGTTGATTCACCCTCAGCCAGGTCTACATGCGCCCTTCTTGGGGGGTTGGCACAGAAGCAGTGCTTTGCTCATTGGTATTACGGTGCCAGCCCTGGTTCAAAATCAGGAGCCTGCAATGTGTTTTGGGGCCCTTTGTGAGCTGCTTCTGGGTCCTCTTGGACCCATTCTCAGTGTCTTAATGGGACTTGCACACCAGTGCTCCAAGGCTTAATGGAAGATGGAAATTACAGCTTTCTTTTCACAAACACAAGTAGTTGCAGTAATTTTTATTTTCCTTGTGCCCCTGATTGACTGAATTAATAACTAAATGAAAGACTGAAGTACATGGTGGTGCTTCAGAACTGACAGGCTGGGCTTTGTAATTCTAAAGTCCTGCGCTGTTGGAAGTTGTGGCCAGTGATGTATTATTGGTATTTACAGCACACTCTGGTGCCAAGGATTGGACTCTAGCATGTGCTAGAAAGATAATTACTCTTACATGTCTGGAGCCTGCAGGATATCGTCTGACTCATAAGATGTCCTCTAAGTTGAAATTGGAGAGATGACTTAATGGTTGGTTTCAGCTGTGTGTCCATGAAAAAACAAGTATCTTCCTGTGATATCATTTGTCTTGGTTATAGTGAGATTGTTATAGGATCTCTAATTAAACTGCCATACTTTTAGTATGAGAAATTTCAGGAAGTTCAGGTTGTATTGTAGCTATTCACATTCCCTACTGAGTCTCCACTCTCAGTCTCTATTGCCCCTGCAGAGGTTCCTCAGGTGGGTTGGACAGCTGGCGGTTCTCCCTCTCATCGCAGTGTAGCCATCTATTGGTAGGTGGATGGCTACATTGAGCTAACCAGCACACCCTCACTTGAAAAGCACATGGCTCGAAGATTTAGAAGAAGCAGTGGCGTTGGAATTGTTGTATGAGGCAGACGTGAGAAAGAGTGAGGTTGGGAAGGTGAAAAACCATTCATGCATTGTGTTTGTTTACTTTAAAAGACAGATCCATCCCTTATCAGCTTCTTATGAGTTCTTGGTGTCATGAAGGATCGTCTTAAATGAAAATGTAATGGGGGGCATAGTTCTCACCACTACCCAGACAGGCCTGGAGGAGCAATGAGCATGCGTTCATTAACCCTCTAGAGTCTGATGCCTCTCAGCCACCATCCAGGCGTTCATTAACCCTCTAGAGTCTGATGCCTCTCAGCCACCATCCAGGCGTTCATTAACCCTCTAGAGTCTGATGCCTCTCAGCCAACATCCAGGCGTTCATTAACCCTCTAGAGTCTGATGCCTCTCAGCCACCATCCAGGTAGTCTGACATGCCTTGACATTTTTATGTCTAAAAAAACATTTATCCCAAAGCACATTCTGCACAAACACAATAACCTGATATAATTTAGAATGTCAATCTATTTTTAAATCAACTGTTAACATACACTTTTCAAAAACCTATTTTCAGAGATACTGAGTCATGGTAAAAAAAAAGAGATGATAAACATTTTTGGCCAAGACTGAGCTCTGGATCTTGTAAACGCAGGTGTCGCCTACACCTTGGTGATTGAAGCATTCAGAATTTTAATGTGGTTTGATTACTAAAGTGTTAGAACTTTAGAGTGACACTTTTTAAGTCACTGAACTAGACAATGAATACTGATGAGAAGTGTCAACACACCTGTAATAGTGTCCATAGTGTCAATGATCCATCAGTCTGGAATATCAGTGTGAATTATAAGAAGAGACCATAATAGCCTTTTTATACTTTATAACATGCAATGGATTAAATGTTGAATAAAAGGTGCAATCATACAGTATTACTGCAATATTACAAAACAATAATTGACAACTAGAACAATAAATTCAGTTCTGATCAGGATGGCAAGCTTCAAAGCAGTTTCTGTCTGGTTAAAGGCAAACTTAGACATCACATGCTTTACACTTCCAATGAGTTTTTGTATATAAAATATAAAAATTTGCTAAATATATTCATATGTTACTGTTGAGCTGAGGTACATTTCCCAAAAGCTCCAGTTACCAACTTGTATAGCTGAAATCAGTTATATGCTTCCAAATGTGTAAGTTACTAACGTAATTAGCAACTATGCTTTTGGGAAACATGCCCCTGCTTTGCTTTTATTTAATTTTGCATTGCAACTTTGCTCCTTTCATTTTTGAAGAGTACACAAGTTGCTTCATTTATGTAAACTATGCAAGTATTTTTAGTGCAAAAGTTAATGTTTCACATCAAATATCT